CGTCTGGTACTGCCCAATCGTCGCATATGCGGAGTAGGACTGCAAGTGTGTCTTGTACGAACGCTCCGCACGAGATTCACCACGGCAGGCCGCACTCGTCCTCGATGTCCAACGGCAGCCCGTCGCATCCCCGCGCACCCATCAGCGTTCACCTCGAACCGTCTCCGAAGCGCAAGCGTACGGAAACCGCCGTCGTTTACTTCTTCTCAGCCTCAGATCCGCTGATTACTCAGTCTCGTCTATTCACTCTTTCTGTATTCAGGACTTTTATGTCTTTGTCCTCTTTTCCTCGCACTACATTCTCCACTCACCATCATCAACGTCCCCTGTACTATACCGCAGCTCATGCTCTTCGTTTATATGCCCCGATTTCACCATTTCGCAGTACGATGAGTGAACTGCTCTTTATGTCCAGCTCTGCTATGTCTTTGGAATCCTTCACCTAGGAGTATCATCTGTTTTAGGTCACGGTGGTCGCCGCCTACATTATGTCATAACCGAGAGCCTCGACGAGCTCAACAACATCGCTGTCAGAGACCGATTCGGAGCGTGAGAGGAATGCCTCGAGCTCGGCGCTTGACGCGCTGATGCGCACCTCGCCCATGCCTCGGGTATTGGCTTGAGCGCGAGCCGCGCCAAGTTGACTGTGCGGCGTTGGCTTCTCCCCTCAGCCAATCCTCGCTGAATCTCGCCTATATGCAGTGCATCGTCCTGTACTTGTAGGTTGCGGTATAACATACTAGATCTGAGGACTTTTGAGCATGTCATCAAGGACAAGGACGAAGTAGGCGAACTCATCACTCGAAAAGAGAACACGAATAGAACCGGTACAACGTCCCTTGAGACGGTACTCAAGTTATCATACCGTGTGACCAGCAAGCAACACAACACCCAACACACTGACCCGGCGCTTTGCGAGTGGATGGGGGCCCATGCGTATAATTGATGCTGACATTTGAAGAGACATGGTTGTGTAGTAAGTCAGGACTAGAGACCACGGATCATAGAATTTCGCTACAAGATGTACTCTACAGGGATTCGGCGCAGCAATATTTCGGGGAGTACCTTTCGTACGTGAACAATCAAACCTGATATGATACCTTACACCCTGTGCCTTTTCTGCTTCGGCGAAGCTCCTGGTGCGCTCGACGGCTTGCGCTTCGCCAAAACCTTCCTCGCCTCGCCGCCTCCACCGCCGCTGCCGCGCTTCTTGGAACCGTGCGCTGTTTCTTCGTCATCGCTCTCGATCTCGATGATATTCCTGCTGCTCATGCGGTCAAGAACCTCCGTAGCCTGTGCTCCTTGCTCGGCGTTGCGCTGCGTCAGCACTTGGCGTAGCGTACTT